AGAAGCAGACTCCCTGCCGAGCAGGGAGCCCGATGCGGGACTCGATCCAGGGACTCCAGGATCATGACCTGAGCCGAAGGCAGTCGCTTAACCAACTGAACCACCCAGGCGCCCTTCCAGGTTTCTTCTTGTAACTTCTAGTTTCATAGCATTGTGTTCAGAAAAGATGCATGGTATGATTTCGATGTTCTTGAATTTGTTGAGTCTTATTTTGTGGCCTAATATGTGATCTATTCTGGAGAATGTTTCATGTGCACTTGAAAAAAAATGTGTATTCTGTTTTAGGATGGAATGTTCTTTTTTTTTTTTTTTTAAGATTTTATTTATCCATTTGAGAGAGAGAGCACAAGCTGGAGCTGAGGGGCAGCAGGAGAGGGAGAAGCATGCTCCCCACTGAGCAGAGAGCCCAATGTAGGGCTCGATCCCAGGACCCTAAATCATGATCTGAGCTGAAGGCAGACACTTAACTGACTGAGCTACCCAGGTGCCCCTAGTATGGAATGTTCTGAACGTATCTGTTAGATCCATCTGGTACAATGTGTCATTCAAAGCCACTGTTTCCTTGTTGATTTTCTATTTAGATGATCTCTGCATTGATGTAAGTGGAAGTGTTAAAGCCCCCTACTATTAATTCATTATTATCAATTAGTTCCTTTATGCTTGTTATTAACTATTTTATGTGTTTGGGTGCTCTTATGTTGGGTGCATAAATATCTACAGCTGTTAGATCTTCTTGTTGGGTTGTCCCCTTTATGATTATATAGTGCCCTTCTTTGTCTCTTGTTACAGTCTTTGTTTTAAAGTCTATTTTATCCAATGTAAGTACTGCTACTTCAGCTTTCTTTTGACATCCATTTGCATGATAGATGTTTCTCCACCCCCTTACTTTCAATCTGCAGGTGCCTTTAGGTCTACAATGAGTCTTTTGTATTGATAGTTCTGTATTTATTGCTATTTTATTACTTGTTTTATGGTTGTTTCTGAAGATTTTCTCTGATTCTTTCTTGTCTTTCTCTCGTTCATGGTTTGATGATGTTCTTTAGTGATATATTTGGGTTTCTTTCTCTTTATTCTTTGCATATTTATTAATGGTTTTGATTTGTGGTTACCATTATGTTTGTATAGCAGTTTATATTAAGTTGATGGTTGCTTAAGTTTGAACTCATTTTTTACTCCACTCCCCTCCATATTTTAGTGCCCTGTGGTGTCATATTTTACATCCTTTTATTTTATGAATCCCTTGACTGATATTTACAGAAATGCTTATTTTTAATCCTCTGGTTTTTTTGTTTGTTTGTTTTTTACTTTTCATACTCATTTGTGTTCTTTCCATTCAAAGAGTTCCTTTTATTATTTCTTGCAGGGCTTATTCAGTGGTCATGAATTCCTTTAGTTTTTGTTTGAGAAACTCTATTTGTCCTTCTATTCTGAATGATAGCCTTGCTGGATAGAGTATTCTTGGCTGTAGATTTTTCCCTTTCAGCACTTTGAAGATATCTTACCAGTCCCTTCTGGCCTGCAAAATTTCTGCTGAAAAATTTGCTAATAGCCTTGTGGAGTTTCCCTTGTATGTAACTGTCTTCTTTTTCTCTTGCTGCTTTAAAATTTTTTTCTTTATCACTACTTTTTGCCATTTTAATTACTATGTGTCTTTGTATGGACCTCCTTGGGTTGATTTTTGGGGGTGACTCTGTGCCTCCTGGATCTGGATATCTGTTTCCTTCTCCAGATTAGGGAAGTTTTTAGCTACTATTTCTTCAAATAAATTTTCTGACCCGTTTTCTCTCTCTTCTTCTGGGATCCCTATAATGCGAATGTTATTATGGAGTCACTGAGTTCGCTAAGACTATTCTCAATTTGTGTATTTTTCATCTCATTTGCTCATCTTGGTTACTTTCCATTACTGTCTTCCAGGTCATTAATTCATTCCTCTGCTTCATCTAGCGTTTTATTTATTCCGTCAAATGTATTTTAAATTTAATTTATTGTGTTCTTCATCTCTGATTGATTCTTTTTTATCTCATTGTTAAGGATTTCACTGATGTCCTCCACTATTTTCTCAAATCCAGTGAGTATCTTTATGATCATTACTTTAAATTCTCTGTCAGGCATATTACTTTTATCTGTTTCACTTAGGTCTCTTGCTGTGGTTTGGTCCTATTCTTTAATTTGGACATATTTCTTTGTCTCCTCATTTTGTCTAACTCTCTGTGTCTGTTTCTGTGTGTTAGGAAAGTCAGCTACTTCTCCTGCTCTTGAAGGTAACAGCCTTATGAAGAAGAGGTCCTGTAGTGCCCTGCAGTGCGGTGTCCCCTGTTGCCCAGGACCTGGCGCTTCCAGGGAATGTCTCCTGTGTGTGCTGCCTATGCCTTGCTGTTGAGTCCTGCCCCCCCCCCTTTTTTTTCAGTCCAGTTGTCTGCAGAGGCTCTCTTTGCCTGTTATGGGCAGTATTTGGTTCCCAGCAGGGGTGCAGTGCATTTTAACTAGGTGTACACTGGCTGCTTCTGAAATGAGATCTGCCGACACAGCTGCTGCCACTGGAACTGAGGTCCAGCAAAATACCAGGTCACGAGGTGAGGTGTTGGTGGAGTTTGTGCCAGTTTTCTGGGGTAGGGGCCCTGCAGTGTGGGTACTGAGGCAAGCATGAGTGGGAAGGGTGGACCTGCCGAAGTGCAGGGGGTGGGGCAGAGGGCTTGGTGTAAGCAAGTTAGATAGTGAGTGTCAGTGGTGCACTGGTTCCCACAGATGGCCTCGTGTTTATGCTGGGGGGCAGGGGAAGGAAATGGCACCTGCCAACTCCTTTGTTCCTGGAGAGGTCTTCCAGTGATCCCTGCCTCTCTGGGCCATGCTCTCGGATGAGTAAATCACTCTGACTCTCATCTGTGCCCCCCCACACCCGCCATGGCATTTTTTTAAACTGCTGCTTCTAGGCTATATCTGCATGGGTTGTTTGTCATGCTGTCTCTTTAAGGGCAAGGACTCTTCTTCCTAATGCCTTCCAGGCTCCCCCAGGACTGAGCCTGCTGATTTTTAAAATTCCAGGCTTTAAGTCCCACTGGTTGTAAGAACTCATGAAATTTGGCCCCCCTTGCTTTCAGTGCCAAATGTTATGGGGATTTGTCTTCCCCTTGTGGGCTCCCCAGTATGCAAGTCCATTTTTTACTCTTCTCTGCACCACTGGCTCCTTCTGCACCACAGATGGCCACAGTCCATCTTGCTCCCCAACTCTGTCTTTCTCCTTCTTACCTTCTTTGATGTGGTCTCTTCTCTATCTTTAGTTTTGGAGTTTGTTCTGTCCATCTTCAGATCGTTTTCTGGGCTATTTACACTGAAGCGAGTGTTATCTAGTTGTATCCATGGGAAGAGGCACGCTTAGGGTCCTCCTATTCTGCCATCTTCCCAGCCTCCTCAAATATCTTTTCTACACATTTCTTTTCTTCTTCTGGAACTCTGATGATACAAATGTTAGACCTTTTGATATTGTCCCACAAGTCCCTGAGGCTTAGTTTACTTTTACTTTTCAATCTTTTTTCTCTCTGTGTTCAGATTGCATACTTTATTTTAAAAAAAGATTTATTTATTTTAGAGAGAGAGGTAGAGAGTGTGTGTGTGTTGGGGGTTGGGGGTAAAGGCAGAGGGAGAGAGCGTCCCTAGCAGACTCCGTACTGAGTGCAGAGCCCAACATGGGGCTCGATCTCATGACCCTGACATCACGACCTGAGCTGAAACCAAGAGTCAGAAACTTAACCAACTGTGCTACCCAGGCGCCACTTAGATTGCATACTTTATATTGATCTGTACTCAAGTTCACTACTTATTCATTCCTCTGCCATCTCCATTTTGTTCTTTGGATCATCCAGCAAATTTTTAATTTTAGGTATTATATTTTTCATTTATAAAATTTCCATTTGGTTCTTCATTATAGTTTCCGTTTGCTGAGACTGGCTACCTTCCATTTGTTTCAAGAATGTTTGCAGTTACTTGGAGAATGTTTATAATTGTCTTAAAGTTTTCATCAGATAATTCCAGTATTCAAGTCATCTCAGAGTTTGCATCTGTTTGTTGTCTCTCCCCTTGATAATTGGTCAGCATTCCCGCTTCTTTGTATGTCAAGTAATTTTGAATTATATGTTAGACATTTTAAATATTATGTTGTGAGACCCTGGGTCTTGTTTAAATCCTATGGAGAATGTTGGCTTTTTGTTTTATTAGACAGTAACCTTAGGGTCAAGCTGTAATTTCCAATTTACCTTCTGTGGCTGTGGTTTTAAGGCCAGTTCAGTTTTCAAAGATTTTGTAGTGAAATCCAAGTCTGTCCTGCATGTGCAGTATTCAGGGGCCAGTCAGACCTGTGCCATGGTCTCTGTAGTTCAGTTCTCAAAACCCCTGGTATGCTGCTTAAGGCCAGATCCACACATGCACAGTTCAGGGATAAGCCCAAGTTTACACATAACTTTATGGAACCCCTTTCTTGATTTCCCCCCTTTCTACACTCTCCAGGTCCTAAGGAATCCTCTTCCTGGTCTGCTGGCTTGAAAGGTGTACCTTTAGTGTTTCCACTCTGACATGCCCTTCCTTGGACTCAGTCTGCCTCTGAGGACAGGTGGTGGGAAGATATGTAGAGTAAAAACAATATTGAGGGTTTACCACATACTTTTTGTATCACAGTTCCTCTGGTCAAAAAGGATTTCCCTCTCTCAGATTTTTAGGTCCCTGCCCAGCTGCTGCCACTGCCATCAGAGTGTAGCTTTGGAACTTGAACTTGCATGAGGGCAGGGCCAGGAGAGAAAAACAACCTAGATCCCTCCAAACTCCCACTCTTTCTATCCTATGGGGGTCCTTCCTCCCATTCCTTAGAACAGAAAGAGAGGGCTTCGCTTAGAGCTCTGACTGTCCATGCCTGCTGCACAATTCTGGGATCCAGGCTTCCTTCTGAGTCCAGTCTGTGACATACAGGAGGAAAATAAACCCAGGAAACTCATAGCTACGTTGGTTGTACTTTGAGTTTGGTTTCCATTCCCCATTTTCCCATTACCTTTTACTTTTCAGGGGCCTCTGATAGCTGCTCCACACATTCTGTCTATGTTTTCTGGTTGCATTCACTGGGAGATTCAGGGTGGGGTGTGCTTATTCCACTTAACCAAATTTTAAAGTTCATCTTTTACCATTCTTAATTTTTTCTCTTTTACTATTGTTTTATAAATGTTCTTTTTATATTCTGTATACAAGTCCTTTGTTAGATATATATGTATTGTACATATTTTATGCCAGTCTAGGGCTTGACTTTATTTGATAAAGCCCATTTTATCAGCTTTGGCTGTTATAGTGTTTTTTGTGTCCTGTCAAGGAAATATTTTCCCACGTTCATGAAGATTCTCTCCTATGTCTTCTTCTTGAAGATGTATAATTTTAGCTTTATATTTAGGTCTATGATTCATCTAGAATTAATTGCATTTTCCTATTCATGAAAATTTATATTTCTCTATTTAGATTTTCTTTAATATCTCTCTGCACTATTTTGTTCTTTTCAGTGTACAGGTCTTACACATTTTTCATTGCATTTCTTTCAAGCATTTTATGTTTTTATGCTATTGTAGGTGATATTTTTAAATTATTCATTGCTAGTAAATAGAAATACAATAGATTTGACCTTGATATTCCTTTTTATACACATAACTAAACAAATATATTTAGTTTATGTATCTGATCATTCTAATATCTTATGCCATTGTGCAACCAATTTTGCTAGTAGTACCTTTTACCTTAGGTATTTTGTAATTTTTACTGTGGTTACACATTTAATTGAACTTTCTCCATGGGGATTCTTTGAGGCCTAGGTTGAAAGTAGATTTCTCTAGAAGGTTTTTTTTTTTAAAGATTTTATTTATTTATTTATTTAATTTATTTATTTGACAGAGAGAGAGATAGCAAGAGAGGGAACACAAGCAGGGGGAGTGGGAGAGAGGGAGAGACAGGCTTCCCGCTGAGCAGGGAGCCCAATGCAGGGCTCGATCCCAGGACCCTGGGATCATGACCTGAGCTGAAGGCAGACGCTTAACAACTGAGCCACCCAGGCGCCCCTCTAGAAGGTTTTTTGATAACTTCACCAGGTACCTGGGAGCATACCAACCCAGGATTATTTAAAAGTTTCCGTGTAAAATAAATAGTATACTTGGAGTATGAATTCAGATCACAAACTTGCATAAGGGTTAACTTTTGATTATAAAATTTTAGCATCAAGATTAAAATATGCAAGATACCCTGTTTTCTGTCCCTCCTTTCCATCTCATTTTCCATGCCCTGTTAAACCCCAGACCTCTGAGCCCTTCTTCACCTTGTTGTAGCTTTCTGCTTAGATACCTATTAATATGCCAAAGGTGATCTTATGCCAACTCTCCAGATGTCTGGGAAATATGGATTACCTTTTCTAAAAACCACTTATCTGCACCTAGCTTTGGGCTTGGAAGTAAAAATACAGATGTGCAAAATGCACATGGCCTGTCTTCATGGCACTCAGTTTGGGAGGAGGAAATAGTGACTTAATACTTATTAAGCCCCTGTCTTGTGTCAGCCACCATCTTGGTGCTTTCATGTATGTCACTTAATCCTGGGGATGACCTAGCAGAGCAGGCTCTTTCATTGGTACTTTTGTGGGTGAGGAAATCCAGGCCACAGGGGCTGCAGGTGGCAAATGTGGCACTAGGATTTGAGCCCCCTGTGGGAGCCTACCTTTAAAGGAGAGGCAGAGTGACCACCACTGCAGCCTGTTGATCTGTTGTCATTTCATTCCCTCCTAGAGGCTGTGCATCCCTGTGTACTGCAAGTACCAGTTCTTTAAGACTCCAGTTCACAGAACAGAGGGGCGACCCCATGGAATCCACATCCACTTCCAGGACATCAATGTCATCTTTCTTGGGGCAATGCAGCCCAGTGACCTGAGGGAATATCTGGAGGGGCCCCCCATGGTGGTGCAAGTTCATGACAGGGACCGCAAGTTAGAGGAGTATTTCCGGAAGCCCACCTTGTTTGGGGATGACCCCTTGGATGCATACCTCAACCTCCAGTCCCTCATCTCTCCGGAAGAGACAGAGAGCAACCCCTTTGAATCCCACAACAAAATATGGGACCCTTATGGGGTTGCCCAGGTCAGTTTTGCCGACCTTCTCCTTGGCCACAAGTACTTGAACTTGGTCGTCCCCATCCACAGCTGTGAGCCCAAGCCCACACACCATGGCCAGAATGGCAGAAGCAGGAAGGTTGTGGGGTTTCGGGTCCCCACAGATGGCTTCCAGCACAACCCAATGCCAATGGGTAATTACCTCGAGGCCAACTCTGTGCTCAAGCTGCGGGTGGACATTGCTGTGCCACTGCGGGCCAGGGCTGAAGCCCCTGACCCAGAATTTACAGGCACCCAGTTTGGCCGCGTCGTTTTCGTGTTTGACTCCAAGAAGATCTCCCTCCTCCATGACCTGCTGCAGGACATCACCATGATCAATGCCAAGGCCCTTGATCTGGAGGCGTACCCTATCAGGGACATTCAGCAGATCCTGTCGGCCTTTAAGATGCGGGTGAAGATCCAGGAAAGGCAGGACCTGGATGTGCTCACTGGCTTCCACCTGCTGGATGGGAAGATCCACCTTCTCATTCTGGAGGGTTTAGCTGACCAAGGCTTGAAGCGGTTATGGGACAGCCATCAAAGCCGGTGGGTGTGTGGTTTTTTGTGTTTCGTGTAAAAGTCATGATGTCGGGATGCTGAGTGAGTGGAGTGGGGAAATCTTTTGAAGCCAGGTTCAGGTTTAGTGTCCTCATCTTAAGGATGAGAGAAAGAAACGTTGATCCAGTTCCTCTCGGGGTTTATTATAGAGCACTTCACAGGGCTCCATAATTGGCCTTGATCCCAGGAGGAATTGCTTGCCTTTAGATGAAGGGAAGACTTTAGGGGCACGTAGAAGAGAGGATGGTTCAGGAAAATGGGCCCTCCCTTCAGACTTCTGAGGGGCCTACTTAGCTAACAGGGAGAAGAAAGTTCTGTATGGCCCTAAGATGGACACCACAGAGGAATAGATTTCCACCTGGTCTAAGGAGACCTATCTGATTATTTTGAGGCTGGAGAAGCTGCCTAGGCTGCAGAAAGTTCCCCTTCCCTGATGATCTTCAGGAGCACCTGATGACTGCTCAATGGGAATATTGTAGAGACAATTAAAGTTTCAGATTCTGGGCTGGAGCAGGTGGCCCCTTATGGTCCTTCCATTCTTTAGTTTTGGCTTCATGACAATTCTCTTTTCCTTTCGTTATTTGCAAGTATCCTAGTTTGGGTTTAAAGGACCTCTTTTCTTTATTTTTATTTTTTAGATTTTACTTATTTGAGAGAGAGTGAGAGAACAAGTTGTGGGGGAGGAGCAGAGGGAGAGGGAGAAACAGACTTCCTGCTGAGTGCAGAGTCAAACGTGGGGCTCAATCCCAGGACCCTGAGATCATGACCTGAGCCAAAGTCAGACGCTTAACCAACTGAACCACCCAGGTGCCCCAGGACCTCCCTTTTTTAGTCTGGGAACTCCCCCTCTCTGTCTTCGGAGTTCAGATGCCTCAGGACCCAGATGCTGACAACAGCAGGTAGTCCTGAGGTTGAGTCCATTCATCCAGGAGGGGAGAACAGCCCTGTGGGGACCTGTCTTGATGTGTTGGTAAGCCGAGAGGCACTGTGGAGAAGCTGGCATTGTGTCTAGTTACCTGCCTAAGAGAACTGAAAACAGGTCCACACAAAAAACTTGTATGTGAATGTTCACAGCAGCATTATTTATAATAGTCAAAAAAGTGGAAACAACTCAAATGTCCATTAACCAATGAACAAAATGTGATATATCCATATAATAGAATAATATTCAGCCATGAAAAATGAATGAAGTACTGATATACACACTTCAACATGGATGAACCTTGAAAACATACTGAGTAAAAGATGCCAGACATAAAAGGCCACATGTTGTATGATTCTGTTTATGTGAAATAGTCAAATCTACAGAGATAGAAGATTAGTGGTTCCCAAGGTCTCAGGGGAGGGACGAAGAAGTTAATGGGTACAGTTTCTTCTTGGGGTGATGAAAATTTTCTAGAATTGGTATTTATGATTGCACAACATTGTTAATATATTAAAAACCACTGAATTGTACAATTAAAAAGGGTGAATTACAACTAAAAAGGGTATGCAGTAAAGAATCCTGCCTTGCCCAAAAGGTCTGGCCTTTGCTTTTGGCTTCTGGGAGGTGATATATGTCATACCTAATAGGAGTGCCTTTGCTTAGGTTGGGGGATGACTACACCAGAACTTAGGATAGGATGGGACCACCGCACCTGACAGTCATAGGATAGAGGTTGGCCATGCCAGAAAGACCACCAGTGTGATTTTGGGTTAGGGCTTTGGTCTTGCAGTGTCAGTTGATCTGGAGATTGAGATTGCCATGTGGGCAGTCAAGCAATTAGTCAGTCATGCCTCTGTAATGGAGCCCAAATAAGAACTCTATATACCAAGGCTCAGGGGAACTTCTCTGTGCATATTGTCCCTCAGCAATGTTACAAGGGCAACGCATCCTGATTCCATGAAGAAAGAGCAATGGAAACTTGGTGTTCAGAACCATCCTAGACTCTGCCCTATGTGTGTCTTCCTCTGGCTGGTTTTAATCTGTATCCTTTCCCTGTAATAAGCTGTGAGTGTGAGTATAACAGCTTTCAATGAATTCTGTGATTTCATGTAGCAAATTGATGAGCCTGAGGGTGGTATTAGGAACCCCTTGAACTTCAGTTGGTATCAGAAGTCAGGGCAGTTTGGGGAACTATGACCTCAAACTTGGCAGTTTGGCTAAGTCAGGGGGTATGGTATGTGAATTATATCTCCATGAACAATTTTGTTCCAGTAGAAGAAATAATATAAAATATGTGCACTGGCCCCGGTTCAGTTAAACTACAAATAAAAAATCATTAACCAGGAAAAAAATTTCACATGCTTGGAAATTAACAAATACCTCCAAATAAACCATGGGTCAAAAGCGAAACTGTAATAGAAATTAGACATTATTGAATTGAACAATAATGAAAATAGTATAATATCTAAATTTGTGGGGTGATGTTAAAGTGTTAGAGGAAACTTTATAGACTCAAATGCTTATATTAGAAAAGAAGAAAGGCTGAAAATTAATGATAGATGTTACAGACATTGAAATAAGTGTTTTAAACTGTCAATAAGTTTAAATATAAGAAATTCCAAGAATATAAAAAACATTTTCAGATAGGATAGTTTAATGAGGTTTCTGGATACAAACATTAATGTAAAAATCTATTGAATTTCTGACTACCATCTACATACAAAAAATTATTTTTTAAAAAAGTTAATGCTTTTAAAGTATAAAAATATGAAATTCACATGAATAAATTCAACAGAAAGGATTAGAATATCTCTATCATGCATATTATAGAACTTTTAAAAACATTAAAGAAACCTAAATAAGTGAAGAGACCTACCATGTTCATGGAATCGAACACTCAGTATTATATATATATATATATTTTTTTATTTTTTAAAGATTTTATTTATTTATTTGAGAGAGAGAGAACACATGAGAGGGGATAGGGTCAGAGGACGAAGCAGACTCCCTGCTGAGCAGGGAGCCCGATGTGGGACTCGATCCAGGGACTCCAGGATCATGACCTGAGCCGAAGGCAGTCGCGCAACCAACTGAGCCACCCAGGCGCCCAACACTCAGTATTATAGAGGTGTCAGTTACCCGCAAACCAGATATATCGATTCAAAGCAATCCCAATTTTAAAAGTATGGAGCTTGAAAAACTGATTTAAAAATTTACATCATCATGTAAAAAAAAAAAACACTCTTGAGTAAGAACAAGATGGGAGAACTTGTTCTACAAGGTATCAAGGCTTCTTATAAAACTCTAGTGATTAAGACAATTTATTGGATCAGGGATAGACAAGCAGACATATGGAATATAATAGAAAATCCAAATACAGACCTACATGTAAGCAGTCGCTTGACATATGACGTGTGACATTGCAAGATCAGCAAATGAATATACTAAAACCATTGAATTGTACACATTAAAAGGGTGAATTTAGATGATTTGATACCACTTCACACAGACCAGTTTGGCTGGAATTAAACATGTCAGATAATAGTAGCAAGTGTTGACAAGGATGTGGAGAAATCAGAATTGTCATTCACTGCTGGTAAGAATTAGATGAATTAGATGGTAAAGTCACCTTGGGAAACAGTCTGGCAGTTCCTCAAATGACTAAAAAGAGTTACTGTATGACCCAGCAGTCCCACTTCTAGGTAAATGCCCAAGATAACTGAGAACATATGTCCACACTAAATAGTATATAACTGTTTATAAGAGCACTGTAATAGCCATTAGATGGAAACAGTCCAAATGTCCATTAACTGATGAATGGCTAAGCAAAATGTGACATAGAAATACAATGAACTATTATTTGGACATAAAAAGTAGTGAAATACTGACTGACACTACAACATGGATAACCCTTGAAAACATTAAGCGAAGTGAAAGGAGCCAGTCACAGAAGACCACATATTGGTTGAGTCATTTATATGAAATGTCCAAAATAGGCAAACCTATAGAGACAGAAAGAGGATCAGTGAATACTTAGGGCTATGGGTCAAGGGGTGAGAGTATAGGGGGTGATAGGTAGTGGGTACAGGTTTCTTTTTTAGGTGGTAAGAAAGCTTGAAAATTGTGAAGATGGTTGCATGTATCTGTGAATAGACTAAAAATGATTGAATTACACCCATTAAATGGATGAATTATATGGCACCTGAATTAAATCTCAATTGAAAAATACCGCTAGCAGGCAAAAAAAATCTGTGAGGAAAGGAGAAACTTTTCAAAAAATGGTGTTGGCAAAATTGTTTGTCCATAGAAAAAAGGAAAATAATTTCCTACATCAAACCATTCACAGAAGTCACTTCCAGCTGCATTAAAAATCTGTGTACATTTTCAACTTTTGAAAGAATTATAGATTCATAGGAAGTTTAAAGACTATTACAGAGATCCCACATACCATTTCCCCACATCGGTTACATCTTACTTAACTATAGTGCAATATCTAAGCCAGGAGACCAATGTCAATACAATGTGTGGGTTGTTTGTACCAGTTTATCACATACAAATTTGTGTGACCACTACTATAATGAAGATCTTGAACTAGCGTATCACCACAGAGAGCTCGCTCAAGCTGTGTGTTCATAGCCGTGCCCACCCTCTTTAACTATCTTGTTTTCCATCTCCTTAATTTTTTCCTCTGTATGTGATCTTACATATTAGTGGAATCATATAGTAGATGACCTTAGGAGATTGTTTTTTTCCACTCAGCATAAAGTGCTAGAGATGCACATTCTTGCATGTATCCATAGTTTGCTCCCTTTTGTTGCTGGATAGTGTTTCATGGAATGGACGTGCCACGGTTTCACCATCCATCTGTTGAGGGACATTTTGGTTAGATTATTACAAATGAAGCTGCTGTGAACAATAATTTACAGGTTTTTGGGTGGACATGTTTTCTTTTCTTTTTAATTGGATTATAATTGATTTACAATATTGTATTAGTTTCAGGTGTACAAGACAGTGATTTGATATTTTCATACATTGCAAAATGATCACCACGGTAAATCCAGTTACCATCCGTCACTATACAAAGTTATTATAATATTATTGACTATTCCCTATGCTGCACATTACATCCCTGTGACTTATTTATTTATTTATTTATTTAAGATTTTATTTATTTATTTGACAGAGAGAGACACAGCGAGAGAGGGAACACAAGCAGGGGGAGTGGGAGAGGGAGAAGCAGGCTCCCCGCAGAGTGGGGAGCCTGATGTGGGACTCGATCCCAGGATGCTGGGATCATGACCTGAGCCAAAGGCAGTCGCTTAACCAACTGAGCCACCCAGGCGCCCTGTGACTTATTTATTTTAAAACTGGAAGTTTGTACCTCTTAATCCCCATCACCTGTTTCACCCATTCCTCCCCCACTCCCAGCCCCAGCAGCTACCAATTTGATCTCTATACCTGTGGAATGTTTTGTTTTGTTTGTTTGTGCTGGTTTTTAGATTTTACATGTAAGTGAAATCATACAGTATTTGTCTATCTCTGTCTGACTTATTTCACTGAGCATAATACCCTTTAGGTTCATTCATGTTGTTGCAAATGGCAAGATCTCATTCTTTTATATGGCTGAGTAATATTCCATTACACACGCACACCCCCCACATCTTTATCCATTCACCTATTGATGGACACTTAGATTGCTTCTATATCCTGGTTATTGCAATAATGCTGCAATGAACATAGTGGTGCACATATCTTTTTGAATTAGTGTTTTCATTTTCTTTTGGCTGAATACCCAGTAGTGGAATTGCTGGATGATAAAGTAGTTCTGTTTTTAAATTTTGAGGAATCTCTATGCTGTTTTCCACAGTGGCTGCACCAGTTTGCATTCCCACCCGTAGTGCACAAGAGTTCCCTTTTCTCCACATCCTCCGTCACCAACACTTGTTATTTCTTGTGTTTTTGATAATAGTCATCTGACAGGTATGAGGTGGTATCCCATTGCGGTTGTGATTTGCATTTCCCTGATGTTCAGGGATGTTGAGGTCTTTTCATGGTGTCTGTTGGCCATCAGCTTCTATTTAGCTGCTCTGCCCATTTTTTAATTGGGTTGTTTGTTTTTTTGTTTTTGTTATTGAGTCATATGAGTTCTTTATATATTGTGGATATCAATCCCTTAGTAGGTATATTGTTTGCAAGTAGCTTCTCCCATTCAATAGGTCACCTATTCTTTTTGTTCATTTCCTTCACTGTGCAAAAGCTTTTTAGTCTGATGTAGTTACATTTGTTTATTTTTGCTTTTGTTGCCCTCGCCTGAGGAGACATAACCAAAAAAATATTACTTAGACCAATGTCAAAGAGCTTATTGCCTGCGTTTTCTTCTAGGAGTTTTATGGTTTTATTTAGGTCTTTAATCCATTTGAGTTGGTGTTTGGTGTAAGAAAGTGGTTCAGTTTCATTCTGTGCATGTAGCTGTCCAGTTTTCCCAGCACCAGTTGTTGAAGAGACTGTTTTCCCATTGAATATTCTTGCCTCCTTTGTCATGCATTAATTGACATGTTAATCCTACATTTATTTCTGGGCTCTTCATTGTGCTCCATTGATCTGTGTGTCTGTGTTTGTGCCAGTGCCATACTGTTTTGATGACTACAGCTCTGTAGTGTAACTTGGAATCTGGAATTGTGATACCTCCAGTTTTGTTTTTCTTTTCAAGATTGGTGGTTCCATACAAATTTTAGGATTGTTTGTTCTAGCTCTGTGAAAAATGCTATTGGTATTTTGATGGGGATTGCATTGAATGTGTGGATTGCTCTAGGTAGCATTGACATCTTCACAATATTTGTTCTTCCAGTCCATGAGCATGGAGTGTCTTTCCATTTGTTTGTGTCATCTTCAGTGTCTTCCTTTCCAATCTGTATTTCCTTTGTGTGATGGAGAGGACCTGCAGTTGTGACATCCTTGTCTTGTTTTTGATCTTTGATGGAAGATATTAGTCTTTCCGCATCACAAATATGATGTTAGGTGTAGGTTTTTTGTAGATGTCCTTTATCAATTTGAGGAAGTTCCACTCTGTTCCTAATTCACTGAGAGTTTCCTAATTTGCTGGTTCACACAATTCACAAAAATAAATTCCAGATAGATTAAAACCCATTTGGAATAATTATAGATTCACAATCAGTTGCAAAAATGATATAGAGTAGTTCCATGCACCCAGTACCTAATTTCCTCCAATGGCGACATCTGACAAAAATAGAATGCCTTATTGATGGACACAGTGCAGTCGACTAGGCCACAATTACCTGATCTTATTCAGAGTTCACCAGAAAAGAAAAATCCATTTCTGAAAAGCAAAATGAGAAAGCTTTTAGATGAGTAGGATAAAGAAAGATTTCTTGAACAAGACAGAAGTACACAGGATAAAGGAAAAAGATGCTGGATCTGGCTACGTTAAAGTGAATAAATTCTGTTCATCCAAAGAGATCATAAAAATTATGAAAAGACAGACTGAGAAAAAAATTATTTGCAGTGTGTGGAGCTGGTATCCTGAATGTAAAAACACCCATGAATCAATAAGAAAATGAAAACAGGCCAAGGGAAGAGTGGGCAAAAGACTTGAACAGGTACTTCACCAAAGGGGAAATCCCATGATCAAACACAGAGTCACCGAGGGGATAGGCAGGGTCTCTGCTGCCTTCCCTCAGTTTCCACCAGGGGCAGGAGCAGCAAGTACCAACACAGGGGGGTGGCGTAGCAGGGTGTGCTTAGAAACTCTGCCAGGCCGGGAATGCCAGCGAGCCAGGTGTGAGCAGGGACGGAGAATGGGAGCGGGGGCAGGGCGAGAGGAAAATGAGGCAGGGTTCAGCATTTTCACTGCCAAGGTTTGGAAAGATCATCTATCAGCTGTTTTATTATTTTTTTCAGATGATCTATTATTAATGCACTCCTTTTGTTCGTGTGTTTTTAAACAAGCAAAAAGAGAAAGAAAAAGGAAAAAAAAAGTTCTGCCAAAGGGCAAAACCGTGGAGCATTCCAGGAGGCCGCAGAGCAGCGCTAAAGCCCTGCCCCGTGGCCTCCTTGCAGAGTCACCAAAGCAGAACAGGGCAGTTCCAAGGTGCTCTACAACTCGGCGCTGCGGTTCCACCACCGCCTCTACGCCGACCTGGAGACCATCCTATACCAAGTGCACCTCTTCAAGCCGCTGTCACAGCTCATGAAGTGCTCGGCACTCTGCATCCGCAACAGCGTTCTACAGAAGGCCTTCCAGGCCCTGACCAGGTGCACCATGCTGCCACGGGGGTGAAGGCCACCTCCCTGGGGGTGCCCATGGGGGGGGTGCCCCGGGGTGGTGCAGGAGCCCCTCCAGGGGCCAGGGGCAGAGGCAGAGGGAGAAGCAGGCTCCCCGCGGACAGGGAGCCCGATGCGGGGCTCGATCCCAGGACCCTGGGACCATGACGCTTAACGACTGAGCCACCCAGGTGCCCCAGTTTTTATTATTCTTTTTTTTTTTTATTTTATTTGAGACAGAGAGAATGAGAGAGAGAGAGCACATGATAGGGGGGAGGGTCAGAGGCAGAAGCAGGCTCCCTGCCGAGCAGGGAGCCAGATGCGGGACTCGATCCAGGGACTCCAGGATCATGACCTGAGCCGAAGGCAGTCGCTTAACCAACTGAGCCACCCAGGCGCCCCAGTTTTTATTATTCTTTATGCCCAAAGGAGCCGAGCCAGGAGTGGAATTCAGTTCCAAGGGACCCTGAGCCTGTGTCATTCCCAGTGACTATTCCACACACTCTCCCAGGGGGGTTTTGGAAACACTGGGGAAAGAAGGGCAATTTACTCCAACACAGGTCACACGAAGCTCTCTGCTGTTCTTGGGGAATAGCCTGGAACAGCCTGAGCAGTGAGTGAGGAGGACCAGAACCAGATCCACCAGGCCTGCAACAGTTTTCTCTACCAACTGAATGTTTGCTTTTCTTTGCTTCTTCCCTAACCTCCTGTGCAGAAAGGTATCCTCCAAAGATCTAGATCTTCCACTGTGTGCCTGCCTTTACCTGTGCTGTTCCTTCTACTCCAGTACTGGGGACCTCCCCCCTGCCCTGCCCCCAGGCCTTCTGCTGGTGACCCTGTGAAGCCGTGAACTCCTCCCGCTGGATTGAGCATGGCTCATGCTCTGGGAGGGCCTTCTCCATTCACGTAGGGAGCAGGAGGGCTGAGCGAGGCACCCCCAGTTTGGAGTGGAGACTGACAAAACGTAGTGCAGTGGGACCCCTGGGACCATGGCCAGCCTGTGCTGGGCTTTGTGGGGGCAGTGAAGGACAGTAGCTGGTTTTTTCAGGAAGTCACGAAGGGCTGACCTTGAGTGGCAGTGAGCAGGCCTTCATCGGGTAGACAGTCCACTCACTGTAGTCTGTGGCTGGGGGTGCAAACCATCTCTTTAGGCTTTAAAGCCAGCAACAGCCCTGGCTGAGAGTTGGCTCCCAGCTTATCAAATGTATTAATAAAGGAGAGGGTGGAGCCAGGAGAGAGAGGAAGGGAGAGAGCCAAGCGATGCGGAGAGAGGGGACTTAGTCCTATTATCCCCCACCTCTCCACCTGCAGCTCTGCCTGAGGGGCCAGGCAGGTGTGGGTTGCGAACCCCACAACGGCAGGCCGAAGCTGCAAGTCAAGAAGGGTGGACGGTGCAGTGGGCCTCAGCAGGCTCGTGCTGGGGAGGTGCTGGAGCATTTGGGTGTCCAGAGCCTCGGCAGTCAGTGAGGGGACGCTGGGCCCTGCCCTGCCTTAGGGAAAGGGAAGAAAACTGCTATTTATTAAGCATTCACAGCATCCCAGGTAGCTGCACATTCATCATGGCTTTATTTGCATCTGAAAGGCCAAGGGGTGGGCCAGGGACCTCAGCTGGTGAAAGGCAGAGACTGTCTTCAGGCATGCGCCTCACGCTGGACCTCAGAAGTGCCAGAGACACTGAGCAGCAAATAACAGCTCCTGACATGGATTCTGCAGAGCGTCCGCGTGAACCAAGTGCCCACAGCACAGCGGGCCCCTGGGAGAGGGCAGCGAGGAGGACTCTCAGGGCAGGGGTGGGAGGGTGACCGCTCATTCCTTGTGCTTTGCTGAGATACGAGGCTGAGTGTACAGTGCCCTCTTCCTGTGGCGGGAGATCTACACCCCTGATGGCTAGCTGGTTGGGCTGCTCCCTGGTGGGGTGTGGGTTGGTGACAGGCATGGAATAAGGCCACAGTAGCAGAAAAATAATCAGAGTGGACTGTGGGAAGCCATTAACTTCTGGGGGCTGGGAGGAGAGCAAAAAGGAGGCATTCTCTTTTGTGGGCTCGTCCAGGTGGAATCGAAGCTTTGCATCTCTGAGTTCTGTGACCTGGGATGAGCTAAACAGCTCCTGAGCTTCATGTTCTCTTGGAAGACGGGACTGGTTTGATGGATCTTGAAAGGTAGGTGAGGCCATGTGGGTGGCCCTCTGCCTTGCAGGATCTACAGCATCTGCCATCACTGCACCAAGCTCAGGGAGGTGATCACCAGAGACCTGCTGCCGTCCTCCACCATGGTCAAGGACTTGAGCCAAGAGCTGGGGCTGCCCATCTCACAAGACGATCTCACAGATGGAAAAGTGACGGTCTTGCCATCTCCACCGGCCCCCTGTCTTGAACGCTTCCTAAGTCGGAAATCCACCCTCGCTTACGAGATCCAAGCCCACAGGGACAAGTACCTGCAGGGGCGGAACACCATGGTGCTAACTGACAAAGGCCGGGAGCCCAGCCTGATCCAGGTGGGTGCTCTCTCCTCCCCAGGTCAGGGGTCCCAGGCCTTGGCTCCACGTGGGGCTGTCCAGTCACCGGCGGGGAGATACAGGCTAGATAACTGGTGCCTGTATCTGCTCTCCTGGGACCCTGGGCCGGGTGGGCGGGAGTACAGGCTGCGGGGCTGAGCCGGGTCAGACGCGTGCACTCCCAGCCCTCAGGGCCCCATCCTCCCTGCAAGTGAAAAGAACGCTCTTTACCTTGGCCCCAGAGTTCATCTTGAAGGAAGAGCTGGGGTGTGTGTGTGCGCGTGTGTGTCTGGTGTGTTAAATGTGTAAGAAGAACAGAATAGGAGCTAAGGAGCTGCTGAGGTGTAAGAAGGCTGGGTGCACTGTGTGGCCTGAATGGCCGGGGAGAGCCTCCCTCATTCCACACCAACCGAAAAGCTGCGACTTCAAGTTGTCCATCCAGGGGCTCTGTGCAGCGCCCCCACCCCAATCTCTAGGAAGAAGAAAGTCTCTCAGAAGTTTGTAAGCTTTCAAAGTGTATATTGTTTATGAAAACCAGTGAAGAGGCTTTTTCCCCATTAGTGTTCAGGTTTTTACAAAAGAACCAGTTCTTGGATCTGTCAATCTGCTTTTTCTGTTTTTCTATTTTCTAATTAACTTTAGCTTTTATTTTTTATAATATTTTAAAACTGTATTTTTTTCCTTTTTTCTAGCTTCTTTAAATTTTTTTTATTATTGAAGTATAATTGGCATACAATGTTATGTCAGTTACAGGTGTGCAACATAGTGATTAGATGATTCTGTACATTACTCAGTGCTCATCACAGTAAGTGTAGTCACCATACAACATTATTACAATATTGTTGACCATATTGAATCCCTGCGACTTATTTTCTAACTGCAGGTTTGTACCTCTTAATGCCCTTTATCTATCTCACCCATCCCCCCACCCACTTCCCCTTTGGCAACTATAAGTTCTCTGTATTTAAGAGTCTATTTGTTTTTGTTGTTGTTCATTTTTATTTTTTAGATCCCACATATAAGTGAAATCATATGGTATTTGTCTTTCTCTGACTGACTAATTTCACTTAGCGTAACACCCTCTAGGTCCATCCACCTCATTGCAAATGGCAAGATCTCATTCTTTTTTATGGCTGAGTAATATTCCATATATATATACATATACATACATATATACACACACACACCACATTTCCTTTATCCATTCATCAGTTGATGGACACTTGGGCTGCTTCCATATCTTGGCTGTTGTAAATTATGCTGCTGTAAACATAGAGGTGCATATTATCTTTTCAAATTAGTGTTTTCATCTTTTTTTTTTTTTTAAGATTTTATGTATTTATTTGACAGAGACAGACACAGCGAGAGAGGGAACACAAGCAGGGGGAGTGGGAGAGGGAGAAGCAGGCTCCCCACTGAGCAGGGAGCCTGACGTGGGGCTCGATCCCAGGACCCTGGGACCATGACCTGAGCCAGAGTCAGACGCTTAACCAACTGAGTCACCCAGGCATCCCTGGTGTTTTCATTTTCTTTGAGTAAATACCCAGTAGTGGAATTACTAGATCATATGGTAGTTCTGTTTTTAATTTTTTGAGGTACTTCCATATTGTCTTTCACAGTGGTTGCACCTTTCTAGCTTCTCTTTTTTTTAAAAGATTTTATTTATTTATTTGAGAGAGACCATGAGCAGGGGCGGGGGATGGGGGCAGGGGCACAGGAAGAGGAAGAAGCACACTCCCTACTGAGCAGGGAGCCCGATGCGGGGCTTGATTCCAGGACCCCGGGATCATGACCTGAGCCGAAGGCAGATGCTTAACTGACAGAGCAACTCAGGCGCCCCTACCTTTCTAGCTTCTTGAGTTGACTATTTCATTCATTTTTATTTTTTCTTGTTTAATAAGAAAGGCTACAAATTTCCTCTGTATATATCCTTGGCCATATTCTGTAAAGTGTAATAGGTACTGTATGTTCTGATTGTTATTTGCCTTAAATTCCTTATAAATTACAAAACAAGACCGAGGTACAGGCCTATAAAAAAGTCAAACAACTGAGAGTGTTAGCAATCTTCCCTTACTCCCTTATTTTACCTTCTCAGTGCACTTACATGTGTACACACACGTGGGCACACACACACACACACACACAAGTACATGAATATATCACATCCATTTATGGGTTAGTACTGTTTTGTTAATGTCATTTAACAAAGGGTCTTGAAGATTTTACAATAATAGGGCTGTACAAAATTTTATAATATGTTTGTACAATTTACTTAATATCTTCATATTACCTATATTTTGTTGAAACCACTTGGAAATATTGTTCCAGAGTTTTAAAAAATTGTTTCTGTTGTTTTCGTTATTGCTAATTTCAAATGACCTTATCCATACTATAATCAATAATTGAAACCCAACCACAATTTAATTTTGTTCTATTTTTACTCTGAGATGTAATTTACATATGATAAAATTTAATCATTGTAAGGCATATAAATCAATAATTTTTTTTTAGAAATTTGGTTTGGCAGTTTAAGATTTTTTAAATTTGTCAGAGAGAGAGAGGGAAAGAGCACAAGCAGGGCGAGCTGCAGGCAGAGGAGAAGCCGGCTCCCCACTGAGCTAGGAGCCTGATGCAGGACTCAATCCCAGGACCCTGGGATCATGATCTGAGTTGAAGGCAGACGCTCAACCAACTCAACCACCCAGGCATCCCTAATCAATAATTTTTAAGTAAATGTATGGAATTGTACAACCATCACAATCCAGTTTTAGAACATTTCCATCCCCATAAAGTTTTTCCTTCTGCCTGTTTAAAGTCAATCCCTGCTCCCACCTCCAGCCACAGGTAACCACTGATCTGTTTTTTGTCTCTACAGATTTGCCATTTCTAGACATTTCATGTAAATGGAATCAGACAGTATGTGACCTTTTGTGCCTGGCTTTTTTCACTGAGCATCACTTGAGGTTCATCCATGTTGCAGAATGTATCGATAGTTCCTTTTTTAAATTGTTGAACTTCCATTCATTGAATGTATCACATTTTTAATTTACTCATTCCCCACGTGGTGAAATTTGTATTGTTTCTAGTTTGGGACTATTATGAATATCGCTGCTATGAACATTTGAAAACAGATCGTTACATGAAAATGTTTTCATTTCTCTTGGGTACAAACCCAGATATAGAATTGCTGGGTCATGTGGTAAATTTAACATTTTAAGGAATTTTAAAGCAGTTTTACAATGAAGTTGCACCATTTTACACCGCAGAACGCAGCGCATGAGGGTTTTGGTTTCTCCACATCCTCACCAACTCTTGTTATTGCCAGTCTTTTTGATTAGAGCCATTCTATTGGGTGTGTGTAATGGTACCTGATTGTGGTTTTAACTTGCATGTTATAATCATTAATGATTTTGGATAGCTCTTAATGTACTTATTAATGATTTATCTCTGGTAACTTCATATATTTACATGCATTTTAAAATCAGGTTGTCTTCTTGTTGAGTTGCAAGAGTTTTTTATTCTGGGTATATTTGCTTAACCAAAACTATGATTTGCAAATATTTTCTCTGTATCTGTGGCTTGTCTCTTTACTTTTTTAATTGTGTAAGGAAAAACTCTTGAAGTGTGAAGGCTTTTAATTTTGATGAATTCCAATTTATCAGTGTTTTACTCTTATTGATCATGCTTTTGGTGACATAGCTAGGAGCTCTGCCTAACCCAAGGTCACAAAGATTTTCTCTTATGCCTTCTTCTAGGCGATTTAGAGTTAGCTTACTTTTAGGCCTTTGAACCATTTTGACCAATTTGTGTGTGTGCGTGTGTGCGTGTGTGTGTGATGCAAGGTAGGGGTCTAAATTCATCTTTTTGCATGTGGATAGCACCACTTCCTTTTTTTTAAGATTTATTTATCTGAGAGAGCATGCATGCATGGGAGGGGCAGAGGGAGAGGCAGAGGGAGAGGGAATCTCAGGCAGACTCCTTGCTGAGCACAGAGCCTGATGCGGGTCTTGATCCCATGACGCTGAGATCATGACCTGAGCTGAAACCAAGAGTTGGACTCCTAACCAGCTGTGCCACCCAGGTGCCCCTCTAGCACCATTTTTCAAAAAAGATGAACTATCCCCCCCCCCCCATTGAATTGCCTTGGCACCTTTGTCAAGAATCAGTTAACCATAAATGCAAGAGTTTATTTCTAGGCTCTGTTATTACATTCCATTGACTTAGATGTCTATACCAGGCCCACATCATCTTGATTACTACAGCTTTACAGGGAGTTTTGAAATTGGGTTGTGTAAGTCCTTTAACTTCTTTTTCAAAATTGTTAGACTATTTTGGGTCCTTCACATTTCTGTATAATTTGCCAATTTCTACCAAAAAACAAAACAAAAACAAAAACCCCCAAAACCAAACTTACAGGGATTTTCATAAGGCTTGTGTTGATTCTATAGATCAATTTTAGGAAGAATTGCCATGCTGTCAATTTTGAAGCTGTTAATCCGTAAACATTGAATGTTTATACTTTTATTTGGGTCTTCTTTAATATCCTTCAGTAAGTTTTGTAGTTGTCACATACAAGCCTTACACCTCATGAAATTAATGCTGTTATGAATGGAATTATTTAATTCTTGAATTGTTGCAAGAATATAGAAATCCAATTGATTTTTGTATATTGCTTTCATATCCTGAAATTTTTTGAAGTTGGATCATGTCATTCATGGGTAAAGACCCTTTTACTTCTTCCTTCCCAATCTGAATACCCTTCCTTCCTTCCTGCATTAGTCTGTGCAGATTGCCATACAGAACTTACCACAGGTTGGGTGGCTTAAACATCAGAAATTATTTTTCTCTGCATATATTGAGGTTCTCTCCTTTATTTATACAGTGTTTTACATACGTGATGTTTGGATGTTAACACAATCTTGCATTCCTGAGATACATCCCACTTGGTCATGGCACATGATCTTTTATCTGTGTATTTCTGAATTTAGTTTGCTAATATTTTGTATTTATCTTGTGATAGCTTTGTCTGACCTTGGTACCCATGTAATATTGGCCCTGTAAAATGAGTTGGTGTTTCCTCCCCTTCTATTTTCTGGAAATATGTGAAATGTTGGCATTCATTCTCTCAGTATTTGGTAGAACTAACCAGTGAAGCCATCTAAGCCTGAGCTTTTCTTGGTGGGTAAATTTTAAATGACTCATTTGATCTCTTTACCCTACTTGGGGTTCATTGAGCTTCCCTAGATCCATAGGTTAATGTTTCGGGCCTTAATTTCTTCAATAGTTTTTTCTGCTTCTTCCTCCCTCCCCCTTCTCAGACTTCCATTATGTGCATGTTGGTTCACTTAATGTCCCACAGGTCTTGAGGCACTATTAATATAAAAAAATTCTTTTGTTTCCAATCCTCAGATTGGATAATCTCTATCTTTAGGTTCAGATTCTTTGTCAGCTTAAATCTGTTATGTCCCCCTAGTGAATTTTTCATTTCAGTTACTGTACAACTTCAGAGTTTTCATTTAGCTTTTTATAAAATCTCTCTTATTCAGGTTGTCTATTTCTTGAGTCATTGTTGTATATTTCCTTAAATTTCTGAAATAATTTTCTTTAGTTTTTGTTTTTTTTAAAGATTTTATTTATTTGACACAGAGAGACAGGTAGCAAGAGAGGAAACACAAGCAGGAGGAGTGGGAGAGGAAGAAGCAGGCTTCCCATCGAGTAGGGAGCCCGATGTGGGGCTCGATACCAGGACCCCGGGACCACGATCCGAGCTGAAGGCAGATGCTTAACAACTGAGCCACCGAGGGGCCCTAGTTTGTTTGTTTTTATAACAGCTGCATTGAGGTCTTTTTCTGTTAAGTCAACCAGCTGAATCCACTGGACAGTTTCTAATGACTGCTT